TTGGTGGCACACCAGCATCAGCCTTGGCAGGATAAATCTCCCCAGACTTATCCAACGGCTGTGAAYATTTAAAACTAACATGAATCTCTATAAATGTCCAGTTTTAGGGTTTTACACAGAATTAAACCAAACAACATGAATCAAACATGCAATTATTTATTTCCACTAAATAACAAGTACATCAAATCAGATTGAAGCTAAGGGCATACATAAACTGTCTAACAAATTGGGTTATAGACAGGTGGAAGTGGAAGGGGGCTCAAACCTAATTATTTCTTGGGCAAGCTACAATAGACACATCCCCAGGACTCTTAGGCATTGAAAATGACGTATATGCTGACTTCAAGTGGGTGAGAAGCACAGCAAATGGAATGGCTGAGCACCTTGCTTTGAGGCAGCAACCGTTTTGGGCTTCTATGTAATACTGTTCAGGCTCTTAGGTCGACAGTGCTGTTAATTGAACGTTTCAAATCCATCTTTCATCAATTTTAATAAAATACTTTTTTCTGATCATCAAAAAAAAGTACCAGAACTCTTTGTTCAGAGAACCATATACACTTTTTACATTTAATACAATCTTACTTTACCTTCTTCAAAATAAAAAACAAAAAGTAGACAGTGAGCATGTCCTCAAAGGTAAAAAGGTTAACCTCTATTTTTTTCAAGATCTTTCAATATAGAAGTAAAGTAAATATAAGATAAAAATCATAGTATCTTTTGGGTATGGGTGTATAGAGTAGATCTACCATATGACAGAAAACCCTAAGGTTAGGGTTTATATCAAGACGTCCAGTAAAAGCAAACACATCAACAAAAAGGAGAAATTAGGGTTAAGAATGATAAGAAAGAAGGTTCAGCATTGATCAATAAGAGACTATACTCTAGAGTATATTTTGGGCATGAAATCATAGAGAGTTCTTTCCTTTCTGGTGTGGACCATAGATACAGTAAGAGAACAGAAACAACAAGATCGTAACTGAACCATCATCTTCCCATTCATATGGATCCCATGATGCACAAATGGTATGGCAGGGATCAACAGAGAAGAATTGATCTGGGGCCACCTGGCCCAGGTGCTGATGTGTAAAAGGGTGTGTTTTTAATTTGTCATTTGCACATTAGTTTTTGGCTCTTTGTACTTCTCTCTCCATTCATATGGATCCCATGATGCACAAATGGTATGGCAGGGATCATCAGAGAAGAATTGATCTGGGGCCACCTGGCCCAGGTGCTGATGTGTAAAAGGGTGTGTTTTTAATTTGTCATTTGCACATTAGTTTTTGGCTCTTTGTACTTCTCTCTCCATTTCAAAGATGTGAAATTTGGGGCTTCATATCTGATAATACTTCAAATGAAATACTAATTACTTTTTCTTCTTTAACAAACAAGTCATTATTTTTTGGAAAGGATGCAAACTCACAGAATCAAATGTCTCCAGAGGAAGGCTTTCTAAATGTCGACGGATGACAGCATTTCCTTTCCTATGTACAAGCTTTATGTTCTTTAATTCTGAAAGATCAAGGCCATCATCAGTAAGCTTCTTCTCTCTTTCTTTTTCTGGGACCTCATTAAACATCCATAATTCTGAACCTCGAGCTAAGAATGCCTCTAATACCTGAGAAGTTGCAATGGGAAATATGCTCAGAACATCATAGAGATTGAAACTTGATAAGAAGCCATAACTATGAAATAATTCATCTGCATTTTAAAGAAAGCACTACTCATGATAATAATAAAAATAAGAAAAAGAAAAAACACAGGCTGCCAGCAGTCAAAAGTTGAAAGCAAGTTCTGAACCTAAGACCCAATCACTCAATAATACATGACGTTAGAAACTTGCATTTAAGTGGAGTGCATAAAAAATAAAAGTAACAAAATTGAATATCATAGACATGAAAATAAGAAAAAAGCTTGGTCAAGAAATAACCAGCGAAGATTCAAACACAGGCATAGGATGGAAAGAATGAACATACAACTGATTTAGCTATTCTGAGAATAGAAACATGGTACTTAAAGCAATCTGGACATTGAAAAATCACAGCAGTACAGAAACTTGGACTAGAAGAGAAATTATAATCAGAATGTCAACGAAGATTCAGATTAACACTGAAAGATCTGTGTGTATAAATTACCCTAATCATATCATCAATGTCACGGCGCCAGCCACAGAAAAGTATCTTTTCTGGATATTTAGAAGGGCTATAAAGATCAGGGAAATCTCCCTTATGTACCTGCATCATTGAACAAATAATAAAAAAATATTTCTCAAACATAGAGCTTTATTATGATATAACAATTCCACAGCACTGTAAAAATAGTACAGAACGCTAAGTCTTGAATCAACCAAATCATTTCCTTGGAACAATTTGTCTTTTTTTTTAATGAGTAATAATTAATTTTTCCAATCTTATGAAGAAAACACTTAAGTCACCCAAAAATGGACACTATAGCAAGGATCAAAGTATCAGTATCAGGTATCATATTGGACAACTCAGATACGGATACAATTTGGAAACGCATGAGCATGGACAAAAAATATGGAAATGCTTGGATACGCTAGGGAAATACATACAAATTCCATATATACATTAATAACACTAATTCAAGGTCAAAATAGCCACAAATAATGCATGATACATAGGAATTGTATATTTTAATGATATATATGAACAAATATGTTACAATTAATATAGTGGGATGAAAAAGTAGCCTCTTCAGCAACCTCTATGTCTCCTTGGAAATCAATACAGGTGGTATACCCAAATTTTATCAATTATATCAGATATGATGTGGGAAGTGGGACTTGGGTATTGTTTTGGGAAGACTTTGGTCGGTTGAACCCCCCCCCCCCCCTTCAGTTTGCCTTTCCTAGCCTCTATTCCTTGTCGTGATTTGCTTCCTTGACTCCTTCAAGGATTAACTAGGATTTCAGGTTTAGAAGGGGTTTGAGGGACAATGAATGTGAAGCACTCATCCAATTACTGGGTAAACTCCACCAAACTTTCCATGATCAGTCAAGGGAAGACACTAGAATTTGGTCTTGTACCCGTAATGGTATTTTCACTTGTGCTTCCTTCCTTAATGCTCTCTTGCAGTCCAATAACTTGGGGGAGAACTTTCCTATGAAAGAAGTTTGGAGCAAGCCTATCCCACCTAAAATCCAGTCATTGTGTTGGGAAGTTTGTCTTGGAAAGACAAATAAATACCTGTGATTTGCTTCAGAAAAGAAGGCCAAACGTTAGCCTCTCACCCCACATATGCTTCCTTTGCAATGCAAGTGATGAAACCCTATCTCATTTATTGCTGTCTTGCTCTCTTGTTCTTAGTATTTGGGAATTCTGCTTCTCTCTTTTTGGCTGCAGGAGGATATCACCACAGGATATAGTGTGCTTATTCAGCCCAAGCTTCGAAGGAAAGAACTGGAAGAATTTTTAATGAGAAAAGCAGATAAAAGGAGGAATTATGTGAAGTTATTCTAATTAGAGCAGCTCATTGGATAAAGACAAATTGATGCATTCAAAGATTTTTCAGTAAATGACATCATAAGGGCATGGTCTGAAGTGGCTGCCTCCTCAAGAGAAAAGGAAAAGAGGGTTATGATGATGTTGTTATGATATGATCACCCCCAGCAGCGAATAAAGTAAAATTGAATTTTGATGGGAGCTCCATGGGAAACACTGGAATGGCAGGTATTGGAGGAGTTTTTAGAGACTGCATAGGAAAGTTTTGGCTATGATTTCCCTTGGGGTTGGGAGACTCATTAAAGACAGAATTGATGACACTACTTCAAGGCTTAAGACTTGTCAAACAAGCAAACTTTCAACATTTGGAAGTAGAGGGGGATTTGAAGATTATCATCTCATGGGAAAAGAATATTCAGCTCACGCCATGGATCTATAGGCATGAGTTTAGGGAAATTGAAAGCATAAAACAGGAGCTGAACATTACTTTCAATGGGTAAGGACTGCAAATGGGATAGCTGATACTCTTGCAAAACAAAGGGTAAATAGGCAACAATTGTTTTTGGGTGCAATTGTAACATTTGTACCTTGTGGGGATTGATTGGACTTATTGTAACTTCAAAATTTAGTACATTTTAATAAAATTATCAGTTCTCTTTGCTGATCAAAAAAATTAATATAGCAGGATGCATAGATGTCATACAATTTCATTGATAATGTATCAATTAATAGTCCAAGACACATATTATATAGAATTTTACAAATTAGTACATCACAAAACCTATATTTTGTTATTTTCCATTTAAGTCCAAGGAACAAAATATATGCAACTATTATATTTGATTATTATATCAATTATTTTTTATTTTACTATTTTTAATCTTTTAACATTAACAAAAACTTCAACTAAATATTAAATTTTCAAATGTTTGGTGAACAATATTTTTACTTTTGTAAACGATAAATATGTTACCAAAGTTGTTAAAATTTCTAAGATGCATATCATATGCAAATTCATAATTTTTAATTACTAAAATAATTATTCCACTATTAATATTTTTATTTATATAACTTTTCTAAAGTAAAAATAATTTTTGACATAATAGAAGATTAGTGAATTTGATAGGTTCAATTTAATAATATATTAATATTTTGTAAATAATATTTTTATATTTATAAATAATAAATATGTTTTTATTTAATGTAAATTAAAATAATAATTTATAATTTATAAAATATATAAAAATTTTAAAATACTTATCGTGTGCAAATTTATAAATTTTAAGTACTAAAATAATTATTCTATTATTGATATACATGTGAATTTGATAGATTATTTATTCCATTAGTTTATAAAATATCAATTTTGAATATTATTTTTTTTTTATTTTTAGCTAGAGTTGTTGAACATAAACATATGTATTTGTTTGGATTGCATGTAGACACAAAAATAAATAAAAGTTATTATATTTCATTTATTATCAAAAGAAGCAAGGTAGCTTAGTGATTGAACATTGCATTTAAGACACTATGAGCGTTTTTTTTAATAGAGATACATGGTATCAATGCGTATCGGTCCATATCGGTGTGTATTTTTTTTTTATCAATATCCATATCGGTGTGTATCAGACCGATACAATGCGATACGTGCTGATATAGGCCCATATCATCTCACTATGCACAACTCAAGGGATACACCCTTGTTTGTAGCATATCTCATATTGGTTGTATCATACTAATACTTCAATACTTGAGTATTAGTAAAGACCAAGGAATCTCATTTTTAGTTATGTTTACTTGTTTAGAACAAAATACAATGCATTATGTAGGAGAAAAACATGATGAGAGATGGGGAAGGTTGCAATGAAGGGAAGGGTTGGGAGCCAGATAAAATATAGAGTTTGACTTGCACAAAGTTTGAGAAACTCAAACAAAAGGAAGGCTATGTGGATGGGTACAGTGAAATGGTGAGAGATGATGATAAGGGAGGGGTTGACTCTGGTAAAGGAGGATTTCAAACTTTGGTTGTGGATCCCATTGATGAGAGGGGTTAGTTAGATGCAAGTGCTGGTAAAAAAGGAGAGGTGAAAACATATGCTGAGAACGATGAGGAAAAAAAGAGAAAAAGAAAAAAAAGTTCTGAGGTGGAAAGATTAATTTGTGATATCGAAGGGCATTTAGGGTTTAGTGGTAGAGGAGATAGGAGGAAGGGTGTAAGGTAAGGAGTTGTGGTCTACAGTTGAGGGATCTTTTCTTATCTATGCCTATGAGAATATTTAGTTGGAAAGCTAGAGGACTAAGGAGTGCAAGGAAAAGGAGGGTAATCAATGATCTACTAAGAAGAGAAAAGCGTGATATTGTACTACTGCAAGAAACAAAATTGCCGGAATTGGATGGAAGGTGGGTGAGGAGTGTATGGAGGTCTAGGGGAGTAAGATGGATTTCAACCCCATCTTGGGGAGCTTCAGGAGGGATTGTCAAACTATGGAAAGATAATGTAATAGAAGTAGTGGAGGAGCTGATAGTTAGGTTTTCAGTTTCCATCAAATTCCAGAATGTGAAGGATGATTTCACTTGAGTATAACTAATATCTATGGTCCCAATAACTATAGGGAAAGGAATGATATGGAGGATGAGTTATATGCAACTTAGGGTTTCTGGGATGGCCAACGATGTCTGGGAGGGAACTTCAACGTTATACAATTTTCAAAAGAAACTAGTAATCCCCAATAGTCCATCACAACTAGCATGAGGCAGTTTTAATGCTTTATTGTGAACTGTGAGTTAAAGGAAATTCCACTTCTACAAGATAGATTCATTTGGTCTAACCTATAGGAAACCCCTTTGTAGTCAAAGTTGGATAGATTTATCTTTAACTTGGCCTGGGAAAATTATTGGGGAAACTTGGCATCTACAGCTCTACCCAAGGTAACATCAGATCATTGTCCTATAAGAATAGGTCTGGAAGATTTTACCAGTGGGCCTAAACTGTTTAGGTTTGAGAACATGTAGCTAGCCCACCTGGACTTTGTGAATAAAGTAAAGAATTGGTGGAATGAGGAATTAAGGGGAATAAAGTGGAAAGGGGTAAGATTTCACAAGAAATTGCAGAGGATAAGATCCAAAATAAAAGAGTGGAACAAGGATCCTTTTGGAAGAGTTAAGGAGCAAAAAGTGAGTCTAACCTCTAGGATAAAAAAAGTTGGATGAGAAAGAATCTCAAACTGATCTGTTTAAAGATCATAGAGATCTGAGGAGACAATTAAAGGACCTGGAAGAGGTACTGCTAAGAGAAGAAATACAGTTGGAGGTAGAAATCAAGGCACAAGTGGATTAAGGAAGGTGATGGAAATACTAAGTTCTTTCATGATGTGGCAAATGTGAGGAGAAAGAATTTTTTATCTAAGCTAGAGGTAGAAGGGGAGGTGTTCACTAATCAAGATGAGATTGCCAAGAAGTTTGTGGACCACTTTAAATCGACTTGTAGAAGACCCTTGAATGAAATGTTAGAAATGGAAGGGGTAGGTTGGCCAAGATTGGATGTAGAGAAGATTAGGTGGTTGGAAAGGAATTTTGAGGAAGAAGAGATTAGACAAGTGGTGTTCTTAAAGGATAGATCTAAAGTTCCAGGTCCAGATGGTTTTACAATAGTATTTTACCAAGATTGTTGGGAGGTGATAAAAAAAATGATTTGTGTGATGTCTTTAAGGAGTTCGCAGATAAGCACATAGTCGAAGCATCAATGTTACTTTCTTGACTCTAATCCAAAA